AAAAAAAAAAAAAAAAGAATCTTAAGGACTTTCTTGCCCTGGCTGGTTTTGAACTGTTTCTCCTCTCTCAGCCTTCAGAACAGCTAGGATTATAGAGCTGGGAAAGTGGCTCAGTGGTAGAGTGCTTGCCTTGCATGCCAGAGGCCCTGGGTTCAATTCCTCAGCACCACATAAGCAGAATAGCTAGGATTATAGGCAAGAGCCGCCAGGACCCTGCTTCTTGCAGGCTGCTCTGAGCAAGTGTTCATGGCAATTTTTTCTTTTCATAGCAGGCCAGGTCATGGTTGTGTTTTACACAAGCGTGTGCACACGCACACTTCTGAGTTAGCTCGGCTTTCATGCTTCCTGAGTCTCTGCTATGGATTCAAAGCCTTCTGCTGGGCTATTTCTGTGTCTCACCCATTTTCTCTCTCCCTCGGTCCTCACCTAGCCAAGTCACCTGTCCCTTCGCCTGCCCCTTCCCTTGCTGGAAAGCTTGGCGAGGGCAAAGCTGAGTGTCTTCTATCCCAGAGCTCTGGGGCAGGATCCCCCCGGGCCCCGGGCCAGGCACCCAGCAGCTGAGCTGTGGGAGGACTCAGCTTGGAATCCAGAAAATGCTGTCTTCTTCCAGAGCAGGAAAGAAAGAAGAGACTGAGAGAACTTTCTGGAATGGTGGGAATGCCTGATGTCTTGGGAAGGATGTGGCTTATGCAGTTGTTGACAAATGGAATTTTACCTGAAGATCTGTCATTTGAACCAGAGGTGGTGACCTGTTAGTGAAGTCCTCACGACTCAGTGTTAGTATTATCCACACCTTTGGTCTGCAGCTCCACGCATACCTGAGCACACACCTGCCTCACTTCCTGCCCTCAGATTCTCCTGCTACCTGGATAGGGATGGATGCCATGTGCTCCTGATCCTCCTGGGAGATATGGCTCCTCTAATAAACCTTATAATAATCTTTCTCTGGGGCTGGGAAGGTGGCTCAGTGGTAGAGCACTTGCCTTGCATGCTCGAGGCCCTGAGTTCGATTCCTCAGCACCACATAAGATAAAAGTCGGAAGTGGTGCTGTGGCTCAAGTGGTAGAGTGCTCGCCTTGAGCTGAAGAGCTGAGGGACAGCATCCAGGCCCAGAGTTCAGGCCCCACGACCAGACCCAAAAAAACAAAAACAAAAAAAACTTTCTCCTGTGCCTGCTTGCCTCTGTGTGGTCCCCTAGGATGGATGTGAAGGATTCCTTTTGCTCAGGAGACTGAGGCAGGAGGATTACCAGAATCCAGATATCCAAGACCAGCCTGATCACCAGAGCTAGACCTTGCCTCAAAACAACAAATGAATAAAATAGCTGTGCCTTTCACTGCGTGTACATTGTAAGACTCTTGGGTCCGGTCATGGAGCTGAACTCTGGGCCTAGCGCTCTACCACTTGAGCCACAGTGCCACTTCTGGCTTTTTCTGCTTATGTGGTACTGAGGAATCAAACCCACAGCCTCATGCATGCAAAGCAAGTACTTTGCCACTGAGCCACCTTCCCAACCCAGCACATAACTTTTAAAGACAAAAATCACATGCTTGGGGTAGAGACCAAGCCTCAACAGCTTTAGCAAAAGTGTCATACATAGACAGAACAGACTAGATGGGGATACTTATTCCTAATAAAAGTATTTTTTTTTGGGGGGGGTCCGGTCATGGGGCCTGAACTCTGGGCCTGGGCGTTGTCCCTCAGCTCTTTAGCTCAAGGCTAGCGCTCTACCGCTTGAGCCACAATGCCACTTCTGGCTTTTTTCTTTTTGTTTTGTTTTTGTTTTTGGGTCCAGTTGTAGGGCCTGAACTCTGGGCCTGGGCACTGTCCCTCAGCTCTTCAGCTCAAGGCTAGCACTCTACCACCTGAGCCACAGCGCCAGTTCTGGCTTTTTTCTTTTTGCTTATGTGGTGCTGAGGAATCGAACCCAGGGCCTCAGGCATGCAAGGCAAGCATTCTACCACTAAGCCACATTCTCAGCCCTCGATTAACTTTTATTAAGATGCCAAGCCAGGCACCAGTGGCTCACACCTATAATCCTAGCTACTCAGGAGGCTGAAACCTGAGGATTGCAGTTCAAAGCCAGCCTGGGCAGGAAAGTCCTTGAGACTCTTATCTGCAATTAACTACCAGAAAACCGGAAGAGGCGCTGTGGCTAAAGTGGTAGAACACTAGCCTTGAGCTGAAGAGCTCAGGAACAGAGCCCAACCCCAGAGTTCAAGGCCTACGACCAAAAACAACAACAACAACAAAAAGAAAAGATGTCAAGATTATATTACTTAGCTCCACTATCCTTATTTCATTGTCATCCCAATATTCCAGAGGCTGAGACCAGGAGAATGGCAAGTTTGAAGGGCTGGGAATATAATTTAGAGGTAGAGCACTTGCCTACCATGCCTGAGGTCCTGCATTCAATCCATGGACCATAGTATGTACCCCTAATGCCATCATTGAGGAGGCTGTTAGGAAGCAAGATCATGAGTTCAAGGCCAGCCAGAGCTACACAGAATGAAACAAATGAACAAACAAAAAACAACCAGGCATAATCCTATTTACTCAGAGGCTGAGATCTCAAGATCCATTTGGAAGCTGGTCTGGGCAGAAAAATTGTGTGAGACTCTTATCTCCAATTACACTCCATAAAGCCATAAGTGGAGCTATGGCTCAAGTGGTAGAGCGCTAGCCTTGACTGGAAAAAGCTCAGGGACAGCGCCCAGGCCCTGAGTGAAAGCCTCTGTTCCAGTGCACGGGTGCACACACATGTACATACACACGAAGTTAATATATACAAAGGGTAGAAGGCTGTGCAGCCTTCATAATTCAAGGCCCAGGGACCCTCTCCATGTCCATTTACCAGCGCTCAGAGAGGCTGAGGTCAGCTCCCAGAGGCGTGCCACTAAGGGTCAGCACTGGCATCAACCCAGGCTGCGGGGTCCTGGAGCCTGCACCCTCCCGCGGCTGGCAACGCAGCAGCTGTCTGCCTGCAGAATGTGGATTCTTTCCTCCTGACAAGCGCCACGCCGTGCAGGACATGCAGGTCCCACACCAGGGGTTGCTCAGGGGACAGCATGGCAAGTACAGGAAGCGTCTCTGAAGGGACATCAAGGGCCACCCTGCCCTGTCCACAGGCCTGTAGCAGGGGGCAGCAGGACCCTGCAGGCAAAAGCCCCACGTGCAAGAGGCCAGAGGGGCGGGAATCTCCCAGCAATTAGGGCTCAGGGACGCTGGGACCGCTTCTAAATGCTTGCCCTACCGGAAATAGGCTCAACCTGAATCCCAGGCCTCACCCAGACCGGCTCTGAGCCTCCCGCAACCGGGCCCCGCCCTCACTTGGTCTGGCCCCGCCCCACGTAGCCTAACCACGCCCTTCATGTTGTGACCCGCCCCTCCCGTCTGTCTGCCCCCCCCCGCCCTGGCCCCGCCCCTGGCCCCGCCCCTGCAGCCCAGGACCGCCCTGTCCACCCTGGCCCTGCCCACTGTGGCCTGGCCCAGCCTAGCCCGGCTCAGCCCTCTCCTCATCACGCCCTGCATTAGAGTGGATCCCTGCCAAACTACTTCTTGCGTTTGCTGTACATAATTTCCAAACCACTGACTAACCAAATCACAGCCCTGCTCTAGGTTGAGAGAAATTTTCCTTTTTTTTTTTTCAGGCTAGGTTCCTGGAAGCAGAATCTGGCGTAAAGGACAGGATTGTTTTTAAGGCTCGAAAACTGCACGCCCAAAAGCACAGAGGTGCTGCGAGGCTGGCCCTCTGCACTGGCTGGTTACCCCGCAGCCTGAACAGGACAGGGCAGGTCAGGGCCTGTGGCTTTGGTTCACTGATAAACCCCAAGCTCCCAGGCTGGGTGCTCAGCATTTGTGCTGCTGCTTTAGCACTGTGGAAGAGCAGGTTCCACAGGACACGAGGTGCTGGGGAATAAACCCATACCTCTAGAGGCTGTCGGGAGAGAGGACTGGTCTTGCCTGTGTGGCTGCAGGCTCCTTGGGTCAGATTTCTGGCTGTGTGTCTCACTGACCTTCCTAGAAAAAAGTAGGACCCTGACCACAGGCCCTATGCACATCAGGGAAGAAGCATGGAACGCACACGCGCGTGCACACACACACACACACACACACAGAGGAAGTGCCCTGTATGGTGGCAGATACCATCACAGTGTCTTGTTCTGGGGACAGAGCATCCTGGTATCTACCCTACCCTCTCCTGACTCTCTGCCTTCCCTGCCCTGGTTGTAGGACCAGACTCTCCTCTCCTTCCTTTCATCTGGATACCCCCTCCCTTTCCTCTCACCTCTCCCCTGGCTCTTCCCTCCCCACCACACTTTTTTTTTTTTTGAGAAGAGGCTATTGCTGGTGAGATAAGGTCTCCCTGCATAGCCCTGGCCATTCTTGAATTCTCTGTCCTCAGTCTTTCTGCTTCTGCTTCCCTTGTTCCAGGACTACAGTTATGCACCACCATGCCCAGCACAAGCTCCCCTCCCCCCCTTTTTTTTGCCAGTCCTGGGGCCTGAACTCAGAGCCTGGGTACTGTCCCTCAGCTCTTCAGCTCAAGGCTAGCACTCTACCACTTGAGCCACAGCGCCACTTCTGGCTTTTTTTTCTTTTTGCTTATGTGGTGCTAGGGAATTGAACCCAGGGCCTCAGGCATGCAAGGCAAGTGCTCTACCACTGAGCCACCTTCCCAGCCCCACTTTCAGCTTTTTCTGTGTGTGTGGTACTAAGGAATGGAATCCAGGGCTTCATACATGCTAGGTAAGCGCTCTACCACTAAACCACCTTCCCAGCCCTTGGCTCCCATTTGAAAAAGAGAATGTGCTTTTCTTGTACCTGTACCAGGGCTTGAACTCAGGTTCTTTCACTGTCCCTCCCTCCCTCCCTGTCACTTTCTCTCCACCACTTGAGTCCAGCTTTTTGGCTGGAGATAATTGGAGATAAGAATCTTTCCAATTTGTCTGTCTCGGCTGGCTTCCAACCTTGATCCTTAGACTTCAGCCTCTGGAGCAGCTAGGCTTATAGGCTTAAACTTCGAGCATCCAGCTTATTTTTCTCTATTACTTTTTTTTTTCACCACAGTAATTTACAACCTTGCCCTATTACAATGTCTTTCCTAGCCCTCCTTTAATTTTCTGAGATCAGAAACTCACCATATAGCCCCAGCTGGCTTCAAACTGATGATCCTCTTTCCTTTTCCTCCTGAGAATTTTGAAACAAGGGACTTTTGGGATACACTGCAGTGGGAGGGGACAGGAGAGGGTAGAGAGGGGCCATCAGATGGTGCTGGCACCTGGGCTTCCATTGACTCGAGACACATTCTGCACCTGTGTTGAAGGTGGAGCGTGTGGCTGCGTCCATCACCAGCCAGCCCTTCAAGCAGTCAACCCCAGCTTCCAGGGGCTGGATTCTCCCCCAGACCTCACAGAGCACACCGGGCCGTTGGGTGGAGGCAACTGTTTACATTCTCCTTTGGAAGCTTCTCTTCCCAAGCCCTCCAGGCTTTCTCCCTTGGCGGGCTTGGGCCCTTGATCTCCGCCCACTTGTCCAAGGCCAAGGCCAAGTTGCAGGCTGGTTACTGCTTCCACTCAGGGGCTGCTGCTCCACCCCCCACAGGCCCGGGGATGTCGTTTGTCCCACTAATGAGCCTCAGTCAGAGGACCCTCTCCTGGAACCGCCCCTCCCTCACCCGTGGAAAGAGGCCCCAATTGGGGAGCCAGCAGATGGTGGGCTGGGTGCTGGGAGGGGCCTGGCTGGCAGACGCTGGAGCCTGGGGTTCTCTGGGCAGGGACTTCTGCTTTAGATGCTGAGCTCAGAGAGCTGGGCTTGGAGGCCAGCAGGTGCTGGGCCTTCATCAGCACCCCAGGGCTTAGGACTCACTCCATTGCAGAGCTAGGAGAGCTCCAGAATCTTCCGAGAGCTGGGCTAGCAGTGGGCTGTTTTCTTCACAGATTCCCGCTGGATTCAGATCCATAAAGCCCAGAGGTAGCCACCTGTGCTGGTCTAAGCTGCACTGAGGAAAAAGGGGCAATAAACTTGAGCTTACCTCAGACCACCCACCTTCAGTGAAACTGAATGAAGCCCCTAGCCGTGGAGAAGGAAAGCCCATCATCCCAGCACTCAGGCAGCAGAGGCTGGAGGACCTAGAGTTGGAGGCCAGCCTGGACTACGTTAGACACCTTGTGTCAAAGACTAAGGGGCTGGGAGTGTGATTTGGTGGCGGACCAGGCATGACCATGGCTCCGTTTCTAAAACAGTTGAAGCCCCACAACTGACAAAACAAACAAAAACACAAACAAACAAAACAGTTGAGATGACTAAATTGTAGGAATGGAGAACGGATGGGTACAATTGCACAGTGCTAAGGTGACCCCAACATTAGTTAGTGCTTGTCTAACATTGTACCACTGAGAATCTGGGCAAAGGACACACAAGACCTCTTGGTATTCTCTTTGTAATCTAGGATGACTTCCAAATTAAAAGGTAAAAGTGAAATTAAAAGCATCCAGAATTGAGTTCAAATCCCATTCACTGGCCACGTGACCTGAGGCAGATTGCACGACTTCCATTAGCTTCATTCCCCACCCTCCCCCACCCCCAATGTAGGGTGGAACTTGTGTGGTTGGTAAGAGTTCGAGGAGATCACACCTGTTTGATGTAAAGGACCTGGATCCTGGTAAGGCTCCAGCAGACAATTATTGGTAGTTTTAATTTTTTCTTTGTGCCAGTACTGGGCTTGAACTCAGGACCTTTCCACGCTCCCTTAGCCTTCACTCAAGGCTAAGGCTCTACTGCTTGAGCCACATCTCCACTTCTGGCTTATTGCTGGTTAGAGATGAATGTCTCTTGGATTTGTCGTCTGGCTTTGAACCAGGATCCTCAGATCTCAATCCTTAGTAAACAGGATTAAGGGTGTGAGCCACTGAGATGGGCTTTTCTTTTTTCTCTTTAGGGGTGTGGTGTTGGCAGTGCTGGCAACAGAACCCAAGATACCCCACATGCTAGATAAAGCTCTACTGCTTAGATACACCCCAACTCACACAGCTTTCCTTTCTTTTCTTTTTTCAGTCATGAGGCTTGAACTCAGGGCCTAGGCACTGTCTCTGAGCTTCTTTTGCTCAAGGCTAGCACTCTACCACTTGAGCCACAGTGCCACTTCCAGCTTTTTCTGTTCATGTAGTACTGAGGAATGGAACCCGGGGCTTCGTGCATGCTAGGCAAACACGCTGCCACATTCCCAGACACAAGCATTTTCTCTGTGTGCATATAGCAAGAGCTCAATGCATGCCAGCTTGTGAGGTTTAGTTGAGGAGAACTCCTTGGCTTCCTCTGCCTGGCCCTGTCCACTTAGTGGATGAGAGCCAGGCTGCCTGCCCGGGTATCTGGCATAGTGGGGACTCCCAGTGGGGATGGGTTTCTTCATTTTTCAAAAGATTATAGGTTAGCATGACATAACACAGCCTGCAAATGGCATGGCTCCCAGCTGCCACAGCCACCTGATACATTGAATAGGCTGCATTCCTAGCTTGATCGCCCATCTTTCAGGCAAACAGCCCCATTCCCTGCTAGGTCCACAGCCTTGGTGTTTTTTGTCACTCAGATTCTCAGTTGGTAGAGTGCCAGCCTTGATCACAAAGAGGCTCAGGACAGCACCCAGGTCCTGAGTTCAAGCCCCACAACCGACGAAGAAAACAACCAGATTCCCATAGATGTCCGGTCTCAGCAGCAAGTGAGACTTTGGTGTGAATTATGCACAACCGATGCTGGGTGAACTTTTTGTAAAAAATCTGTTTGTGCTTTGATCTCTTTCTCTAATCTCCAAGCTACAGCCCTGCTGCAGAATGTCTTCCCTCTGCAAACGGGCATGAAGGAGCGCCCTCCAGAGGGCCTGGTGAGCTATTGATTACAGACCAATTTTACAAATTGTGGTTCTATCATAAGCCCAGCAACACAGCAGGAATGCAGACCCTCCAGTGGGTTTAGGAGCACAGACAGTTACAAAGTAACCCACAGACCTTGATGAAATTGGTTTCGATCCTGTTTTTCCTGGGTCTGAAAAATTAGATGTAACTCCCAAGAGTGTGCAGTGTGTGTGTGTGTGTGTGTGTGTGTGAGAGAGAGAGAGAGAGAGAGAGAGAGAGATTCCAAATTCCTTCTGGCTTCTTTTGAAATAAAGGAGTGGCCAGGACCAGCACAGGGACGGAAGAGTGTCCTTTGCAGGAAACGTGGGTCCCTTATTCCCAGGAGAGAAAGTGGCACAGCAGCCTGGCGGGGGAGAGACGCAGTGAATGCTTGCTGAATTCCTACAACTTTCTTATCTTCCTTCCTTTTTTTTTTTTTCCGGTGCTGATTCTGGGCTTGAACTCAGGGTCTTGGTGCTCTCCCTCAGCCTTTTCTCTCAAGGCTAGCATTCTATCACTTGAGCCACATTTCCACTTCTAACTTTTTGGAGGTTAATTAACAATAAGAGTCTAGACAAGCCGGATGCTGGTGGCTCACATCTGTAATCCTAGCTACTAAGGAGGTTGAGATCTGCGGATCACAGTTCAAAGCCAGGTTGGGCAGGAAAGTCTGTGAGACCCTTATCTCCAGTTAACCACCAGAAAACCAGAAGTAGCATTGTGGCTCAAGTGGTTGAACACTAGCCTTGAGCTGAAGAGCTGAGGGACAGAGTCCAGGCCCAGAGTTCAAGCCTCACAACCAAAAAAAAAAAAAAAGTCTCAGACTTTCCTGCCCTGACTGGCTTCAACCCTTGATCCTCAGATCTCAGCCTCCTGAGTCTCTAGGATGATAGGTGTGAGCCACAGGCACTGGGCTGAAGTCTCCCTTTTCTCTGGGCCTGCTCGGTCACTCCCCCATCCAGCATCCCACACATCCTCGCCCGTGAACTGGATGGTGATCAGCATCTATGGATGCAGCCGTGCACCGCGGAGGCGTGAGGAAAGCCACGTCCTGCACACCATGTCCTATGCTTTCAGATGCATGGCAAACACCCGGGAGAACTTGATAAAGAGGCTGTTTCTGGGCCGAGAATGTAACTTTGTGGTAAAGTGTGGGCTTAGCATGCTAGAGTCCCTGGACTGGATCTCCAGCACAGGAAATTTAAATTAAAATAAGAAAAAAGAAAAACTAGGTTCTGGGGCCACAGCGAGGTTTCCTGATTGGGTTTGAGAGGCGTGCATCCTTCCTGGCTGTGCTACCAGCCCCTAAGAAGCTTCACAGCATCTCTGAGCTCTGAAACCTCTTCTGGATTTATGTTTTCATTTATTTTATTTTATTTTTTGCAGGTTATAGGGCTTGAACTCAGGGTCTGGGCTGTCCCTGAACCTCTGTGTGCTCAAGGCTGGCTCTCTACCACTTGAGCCACAGTGCCACTTCTAGTTTTTGAGTGGTTAATTGGAGATAAGCATCTCACGAGGACTTTTCTGCCCAGGCTGGCTCAGAACCAAGATCCTCAGATCTCAGCCTCATGAATACTATGATTACTGGAGTGAGACACTGGCGCCTGGCCTTCTGGAGTGTGTGTGTGTGTGTGTGTGTGTGTGTGTCAGTCGCAGGGCTTGAACTCTAGGCCTGGGCGCTGTCCCTCAGCTCTTCAGCTCAAGGCAAGTGCCCTACCACTTGAGCCACAGCACCACTTCCAGCTTTTTCTATGTATGTGGTACTGAGGGATTGAACCCAGGCCTTCATGTATGCAAGACGAGCACTCTACCGCTGAGCCACATTCCCAGCCCTTCTGGATATTTGTGTGTGTGTGTGTGTGTGTGTGTGTGTGTGTGTGTGTGTGTTGGTACTGGGGCTCAAACTTAGGGCCTCATGCTGTTTTTCTTGAGGCACAGCTCTCTTTTTGGCTTTTTGGTGGATAAGAATCTCATGGACTTTCCTAGCCTGGCTTGCTTCCAACCATGATCCTCAAAGCTCAGCCTCCTGAGTAGCTAGGATTATAGACATGAGCCACCAGTGCTGGCTTTCCTCTGAATATGATTTAAGGCAACATCAGATGTTGCTTACCAGCTGCCATGGGTGCTGACTGTACAATCAAAGACAGACACTACACACTGAGCCTACAGGGGCTCCCAGGCTGGGGCTTAAAGGTCTGACTATAATTGGATCCTAAGGTTTTGTGGTTCTCTGGCAAAAATAGTACAATGGAATTTTCATCTCCCAGAAAACATCTCTCCAAATATTCAGACAGGAATCCTCAGTGCCTACCGATCAGAGAGCCAGGAATCAGTAAGTCCAGAAGGAGCTCCAGGAGGAATTTAGACCAAACTCTACCCTGCATGTTGCAGACAGGGGAAGACAGACCTGGGAAGCAGAGCATTGTGGCTCTAGGATCTGGGGCTGTTTTTGCCATTTTGTTGTCCAGTGCAAATAAACACCAGCCACAACACTAGAAAGATGTAATTTAAAAATTTTTAGACAATAGTCACATTAAGAAAAAACAGCTTGGGCTGGGAAGGTGGCTCAGTGCTAGAGTGCTGGCCTTGCATTCATGAGGCCCTGGGTTCCATTCCTCAGCACCACATAAGCAGAAAAAGCCAGAAGTGGCGCTGTGGCTCAAGTAGTAGAGTGCTAGCCTTGAGCTGAAGAGCTCAGAGACAGCGCCCAGACTGAGTTCAGGCCCCATGACCTGCAAAAAAAAAAAAAATTAACAAAACAAAAAACAGCAAAAAGAAATAGGTGAAATGAATTTAGTACTATTTAAATCCAAGACAATACAAAACATTACCATTTCAACATGGAATCAACTAATAGTTATTTTTCAGTATCTATTTATCAATCATCTATATTGGGGGGGGCGGGCAGCAGGGCTTGAGATGGAACCCAGGGCATGCTAGGCAAGCACTCCAGCACAGAGCTACACCCCAGCTTGCTTTATTTATGTATTTATTTGAGATAGGGTTTCAGACTGGACTCAAAGTCCCAGTCCACCTGCTTCAGCCTCTTGAGTGCCAGGATGACAGATGTACACCACTGGTTATTTCTTTTGGGTGGTATTGTGGTTTAAATTCAGGGTTTCAAGTTTGTTGGGTGGGTATTCTACGGTAGAACTACCACCCCAGTCCTTTTTGTTTTTAGTTATTTTGGGGATAGGTCTCTTGTTTTTGTCTGGGCTGGCCTAGACCGTAATTAATTGTGTGTGTATGTCACTAATGAAGCTTAAACTCAGGGCCTGAGGACTGCCCTTGAGCTTTTTTGCCCAAGGCTAGCATTCTGCCATTTGAATAACAGCTCCGTGTCTGGCTTTTAGAAAGTTAATTGGAGATAAGAGACTCCCGGACTTCCTTCAAGGGCTCAAATCTCAGATGCCTCCCGAGTAGTTAGGATTACAGGTGTGAGCCACCAGTGCCTGTCTCTGAAAGCCAGTGTGAGCCAAGTGTGATAGTATGCCTGTAATCCTGGCACTTGCTTCAAAAACAAAACAAAGGAAGGAAGGAAGGAAAGGAGGAAAAAAGGAAGGAGGAAGAAAAAGGAGAAAGCTAGGGAGGGAGGGAGAGATCTCCAATATGTGTTTCACACCTAACTGCACACTGGATGCATTTCAAATGCCCAGTTGCTACCAGGTAGGCCCCAGAGATGGAAACTGTATCCTTTAATTGAGCATCATAACTCGATTTTCATTTGTGACTACCATCACTTGCACGATTGGTGGATTTCCATTTTTGACTACCATCACTTCCACGATTGGTGGCCATAGCAAGGGAGGAGCCCATGAACCTCCCAGTTGGAGGTGAGGCTTGAATGAGACCACACTTCTGAGAGGCACTCGGAATGCAGCTGAGGCCAAGCCTCGCTTGACATAAGCTTTCACTGCAGTCCAAAGGAGGCCAAATAGCAAGGGCCAGCTGGCGCGGGGAGCCCACGTATGGACACATGTTATGGATGTGGCCCAACACCAGACCAGAAGTGCTTGAGGAATCTTACCTCCTCTCCAGCTTTTGCACCAATTCATCCCATCCCCAGAGCAGTGGCTAGAGGAAAGCCCAGGGAAATTCCAAGCACATTAAAAAAATTGTTATTATAAAGGCGATATACAGAGGGGTTACCGTTACATAAACCAGGTAAAGAGTACATTTCTTTTGGGGCAATGTCACCCTTTCCTTTGCTCTCTCCATTTTTTAAAAAAATTTATTTTATTTGTGAACATACTGTACAGAGGGGTTACAATTACATGGGCAGGATAATGCATACATTTCTTACCAAGCATTGCAGCCTTCTCTCCATGTTTTCCCTTCCATTCCCACCCAGCAAGCACATTTTAGGGGAGGGGTCACCCCCACCTAGTCTGATGGGTGTTTGGTGCTCTGTGGCTTTGGTCCCATAAAGACCTTGCTGATGATGCCTGCAGCCCATCTCATTCAGCTGGGAATGTCACGTGCGCTTCCTAGGGACAGTCGTGCCGAAAACTGAGACATGTAGTGGCAGAAATCCCTTCTATCACCTGGCAAGTAGGGCTAGTGATGGGTGTACCCCTAAAGCGCCTTTCTTCTCCAGCAACATCCTCGAGAAAAACCAGTTTTGGGAGCGCCACACCTGGGGGTCAGATGATGCAATGTGGTATTAGCGTTTTATTGTGTCAGTGTTTCTGACACACCGGTCTTCAGCCTGGCAAAGAGCACAGAATGGGCCCAAGAAAGAACCAGACTGGCTGGCAGCAAGTCGTAAGGAGCTTGTAATTGGTGGAGGGAGGCTGAGCTTCCAGGCAGCCTCCTGCAGGCCGGCTAGCACCAACATGTTCTTTCCTGAAGCAGGCTTGGAGGATACATCTACCAGGAATTCTCTCCTGGTTGGTTCTCCTGTTTTATTTCAAAGCACCCAGGATTAATTGCTTTAATCTTTTTTTTTTAAATGCAAGGCCTGTGAAGAAATGGTTTTCAAAAGGTGCTT